CCCTCAGGCATCCCCAAAGAGCCCGAAGAAGGCCCCCAGACCCCCCAAAAGAGCCCCAAGAGGACCCCAAGACGCCCCCAAGAGGGCTCCAAGAAGGCCCTAAGAGGACCTCAAGAAAGCCCCAAGAAAGAGCTCAAGGAGGGCCCCAAGAGGGCCCCAAGAGAATCCCAAGAGAGCCCCAAGATGGCTCCAAGTTTCGAAACGCACGCGAGTTTAAGATCCAAATCAGTGCAACAGCCATTACGAGTCATCGAAACACCCCTCACCCCTCATCGAAGCATCATCGTAGCTTGCACCGATTTCCATCTTCAACTTCAATGCGGGAAGCTCTTTGTGATCCTTGTTTTCCCGAAGACGGCTGCGCAACTGCATGCGTCCTGCCGCCCCTGATTCACCGACTCCCCTGCTGATCGTTTCTGGATGGGCTGGTGGGGATATTACCTAACAGCGAAGACTGATAGGTTTCTAGTTGACTCAAAAGAGCTCACAGATCACTCCACAGGGGGGTCCGGGCAGGCGATGGGAGTTGCCGGCCGGGCCTGTGCCGGGCTCGTTTTTCACCAACAGTCACACACTTCGTGCTCGTCGACCTCTCAGAACCCCATTCCCAGGCCACATTCTGAATAACCGGATGCAACAGTCACACACTTCGTGCTCTTCGACCTCCCAGAACTCCATTCCCGGGCCACATTCTGAATGCCCGGAGCCAACTGTAGGCCACTTCGTGCTCTTCGATTCCCAGAACTCCATTCCCGGGCCACATTTTGAATGCCCGGAGCCAACTGTAGGCCACTTCGTGCTCTTCGAGTTCCCAGAACTCCATTCCCGGGCCACATTTTGAATGCCCGGAGCCAACTGTAGGCCACTTCGTGCTCTTCGAGTTCCCAGAACTCCATTCCCGGGCCACATTTTGAATGCCCGGAGCCAACTGTAGGCCACTTCGTGCTCTTCGAGTTCCCAGAACTCCATTCCCTGGCCACATTTTGAATGCCCGTAGCCAACTGAGGCTGAGGCAGGCTGCTGCTGAGGCAGGCTGAGGCTGAGGCTGAGGCAGGCTGAGGCTGAGGCAGGCTGAGGCTGAGGCTGAGGCTGAGGCTGAGGCTGAGGCAGGCTGAGGCTGAGGCTGAGGCTGAGGCTGAGGCAGGCTGAGGCTGAGGCTGAGGAAAAGGTTGAGGCTGAGGCTAAGGTTGAGGCTGAAGCTGAAGCAGGCTGAGGCTGAGGCTGAGGCAGGCTGAGGCTGAGGCTTAGGCAAGCTGATACTGAGGCAGACTGAGGCTGAGGCTGAGGCAGGCTGAGGCTGAGGCAGGCTGAGGCTGAGGCAGGCTGAGGCAGGCTGACGCTGAGGCTGAGGCTGAGGCTGAGGCTGAGGATGAGGCAGGCTGAGGCAGACGCTGAGGCAGGGTGAGGCTGAGGCTGAGGCAGGCTGTGGCTGAGGCTGAAGCTGAGGCAGGCTGAGGCTGAGGCTGATGCAGGCTGAGGCTGAGGCAGGCTGAGGCTGAGGCTGAGGCTGAGGCTGTGGCTGTGGCTGAGGCTGAGGCTGAGGCTGAGGCAGACGCTGAGGCAGGCTGAGGCTGAGGCAGGCTGAGGCTGAGGCTGAGGCTGATGCAGGCTGAGGCTGAGGCTGGCTGAGGCTGAGGCCGAGGCTGAAGGCAGACTGAGGCTGAGGCTGAAGCAGGCTGAGGCTGAGGCCGAGGCAGGCTGATGCTGAGGCTGAGGCAGGCTGATGCTGAGGAAAAGGTTGAGGCTGAGGCTGAGGCAGGCTGAGGCTGAGGCTGAGGCAGGCTGAGGCTGAGGCTGAGGCAGGCTGATGCGGAGGCAGGCTGAGGCTGAGGCTGAGGCTGAGGCTGAGGCTGATGCAGGCTGAGGCTGAGGCAGGCTGAGGCTGAGGCCGAGGCTGAAGGCAGGCTGTGGCTGAGGCTGAGGCTGAAGCAGGCTGAGGCTGAGGCTGAGGCAGGCTGAGGCTGAGGCTGAGGCAGGCTGATACTGAGGCAGGCTGAGGCTGAGGCTGTGACTGTGACTGCCGTTGCCACTGCGACTGTCATCGCGAATGCGACTGCGACTGCGAGAACAGGAGAATTCTACAACTGGATTCTCATCTGGATCTTAAGGGGAATGTTTCCATATATGCTTCTACACATCGCTGTTAGGTTGCTTTGCCGGGATAATTTTTCCGTTAGCAGCCGAAGGCGAGCGCGCCGACGGCGAGTAGGGTCCGAGCGGGCCGCGCGAGGGCTGAATTACCTGCGCAAAGCAGAGCAGGACCTACCGCCGAAACCTCAGAGCTGGAACAGCAAGAAGCTGGGGGAGGGGCTGCCGGGGCTGCCAGGGGCTGCAAGCGTGCGACAACCTGAGAGCAAGCCACCAGGTGTGAATTGAACTGCAGCGAATTGACTAACCGCTGAACCACCAGGTATGCGAATTGGCTGCAGCTGCCAGGGAACCAACCCAGGGAAGCGCGCAGGTGAATTCTTCACGCTTCGCGTATCCCCACCAGCCCATCTCAAAACAGCAACTCTTGCGAAGCATGCCGACAGTCGTGTTTTTCAGGCGTGTTTCCGCCTGCCCCCGCATATCTCCGGGCCTCTCGTCCTGGTGTGAGTCGTTCGGGCCCTTCTTCCTGGTGTGAGTCGTTCGGGCTCTTCGTCGTGGTTTGAGTCGTTCGGGCTCTTCGTCCTGGCGTGAGTCGTTCGGGCTCCTCGTGGTGTGAGTCCCCTCCTTGTGTGTGAGTCGTTCGGGCCCCTCCTCCTGGTGTAACTCGTTCGGGCTCCTCGTGGTGTGAGTCGTTCGGGGCCCGCGTCGTGGTGTGAGTCGTTCGGGCTCCTCGTGGTGTGAGTCGTTCGGGCGCCTCGTCCTGGTGTGAGTCGTTCGGGCCCCTCCTTGTGGTGTGAGTCGTTCGGGCTCTTCGTGGTGTGAGTCGTTCGGGCCCCTCGTCCTGGTGTGAGTCGTTCGGGCTCCTCGTGGGGCCTCTTGGGGGCCTCTTGGAGCCTCTTGGGGCCTCTTGGGGGCCTCTTGGGGGCCTCTTGGGGGCCTCTTGGGGGCCTCTTGGAGGCCTCTTGGGAGCCTCCTGGGGGCCTCTTGGGGCCATCTTGGGGCCTCTTGCGACCTCCTCAGAAGCGCAAATGAGCGCTGCCCCCTGAGAAGGACAAAATGAGCCCAAAACCTGTGTAAAATCAATGATTTTGCTATGAAGGAAGATGAGCGCGGCCCCCTCAGAAGGCCAAAATGGGGCCAAAACCGTAGTAAAATCAATGTTTTTGGCTTCAAAGACGAGCTGAGGGGCCAAACTCGGTCCCCCCGTCGGGGCCAGAATCCTCGTGAGGGTCGTCGTTTTTTGGCCCTCCCAGGAGTCGAAAAAGACCTCCCTGCCACCACTCGGTACTCCCTGTCCAGGTCCAGGGGGAGGGGGTAGGGGGAGGGGTAAACCCCTCCCCGAAGGGGAAGAAGGGGGTTGAGAGCTCCCTAAACCACTCACGCCCAAAGGGCTGGTGGGATTGGCCAACCGAAGCTGGGGCGCAGCCAAAATGGCGCGCGGGATACACCAGGATGTGACCAGGGTGGCGGCGAGCCGGTATACTGACTGTTGGGAGTGCCCCAACGTGGCCCAACAGGTGCAAAAGGTGGCGCCACCAAAGTCGCACACCAAGGCCCCATTGAAAGGAGTGCGGTCCGCGAGTGTCCGGCGTTTGGCCTTTTCTGACTCTGTTCCCCGAGGTTGTTTGGTCTGGATTATTTACCGCATTCCCTGGGTTGTCTGGTCTTGATTACTTCCTGCATTCCCAGGGTTGTTTAGTCTTGTTCATGTATTACGTTCCCCGAGTTTTTTGGTCTCGGGTTGTTTAGTTGTGTTTCCTCACTGCATTCCCCGGTTTGGTTGGTTCAGCTTCCTTACTACATTTCCTAGGTTGTTTGGTTTTGTTTCTTTACTCACTGGGTCGCTGTGACAGGCGGCCTGGGTCAGGGACGGTCGTCCGCAGGCTCGCTTATCTCAGCACAGGAATAATTGGACCTTTTTTCAGATGTGAGTTGATTACCTACCCTACGCTTGCGGAATTAGTTACAAGGCCCTGCATTCACGGGCAGTTTCAAGCTGGAGTGGTGCGATGAAAAGAAGAATACTATTTCTAAACAACTCCTCCTAGCAACGCCAAGGCGTGCTAAGCTGCGCCAAGCAATGCCAGGCAATGCTAAGCAACACCAAGTAACGTCAAGCAATGGTGCCGATGCAATAGGAATGTGTCCCCTGATTAGGGTCGCGCAGAGTTCATGATTGCGCGACTCTTTTGGTCTCTTTTCTTGTCCTTCTTTTTCGTCCTCTACTTGCAACTTTGGCTCAAGCCAGTTTCACAGAACAGTGCTTGCACTAGGGGAGTCTGTCTTGGCGTCTAAGTAACCTTCCTGCGCTTCCAGGTTTTCGCCCTCTGCTCGCCCGTCGCCGCCTCGTGCGCTGGCTGGCGCTTCCTGACGTGCGCCCGTTGCCCGCCCATCGCCGCCTCGTCGCCGCGCTGGGCTTGGGCTGGCGCTTCTGGACGCTCGCCCGGGGGACCGCCCGCCGCCATCAGAGCTCACGACGCAGCGCGCACATCGAGGGTGCAAGAAACCTCTTGGGGTCCATGTTAGCCGACGTTGGCTCCAGGTATCGCCGCTTACGGGACGTCTCAGCATTGATAGCATTGGCGCGTCGCACCCCGCTCTCAAGTCAGCGCAGCCCCCCCCCCCAAGCGCCAGGCCGCCGCGGTGCGATGTCATCCACGCCACGGTGTTGCTGAGCTTACATACGATGTTGGCGGCTGCCTCCGTCTCCCTACAGTGGCGCCCCTCCTTCCACCACTCCTGTTGCCCACACTCTCTCGCCAAGGCGACCTTCTCGCCTCTACCAGCCCGCCTTCGACGTCTCCGACCTCTGTCCGAGGTGCTATTGGCCCCTCGGTCGCACTTGGCACCCGCTGCGGTGGCTCCAGCACTGCGTCCCCATCAGCAACAGGACCTCCGACCTAGCAGACATGGTGGTGGTGTGCAGGTGCCTTCTGCGCATCTGCGACCCCGTGGTCGCCCGCTGGCTCCAGGTGACACTGGCCCTGCTGCTATACGCTGGGAGAACACCGAGCACAGACCTCCACCGACCTCAGATGGCGGCGGCCTCATCACAGACCTCCCCCCACCTGGGACTGCACTCCAGCAAGTCACCCTCTCCTCCATGGTACTGTTCTTGTGGGCACCTGTGGGATTACTGGCCTCTGTGGCACTCATCGCCGCCTGGCCGATCTGCGTCTCGCACGGTAGCACAAGGGCCACCTTAGCGCCGCACATGATCCTAACCATGGATTCCCTTCACATTTACACGCTACATCGGATCCAGGTTCTCCGCAGCAAGTCCCGCCGCAAGCCTCGCGCACGGCCCCTCGACCACCCTCGCACGCAGCAAGGGCCCGCAGCCGCTCCACAGGGCCCTTGCCCGCACCGCGCGGCCTCCCGCCCATCCTACGCCGAGGCAGGGGGGGGGCCGCCCGCCCCTGCAACAACAAGATCGCGCTGGAGGGCCCCGAGATCAATACCGGTCCCGCCTGCGTGGGGTCGGGCTCGCTACTCCAGGCCCGCCGGGATCATTCCGCAACCCTGCACTCTTGGACCCTCCAGATGGACTGGCGGGGGCGGAAACGATCGCGCTGCTCGGTGGCCTGTCAGGGAAAATTAGAAAGGTGTTGTGGAGGCCCGAGGAAGACGCACGCCGTCTCCTCCGTCCCTGCGTGCCGAGCTGGCGGCGGCCGCCGCGTCGGCCACCTCCAGGGGCCACCGACGCCGAGAGTCGAGTGGGAGCGGCGCCGCCTGCGCGCCGCCGCGGCTCGCGCCCGCCCTCTGCAGATAGGAAGGGGCCTCCGCGCGCGCGCACGGGGGCGGCCCCCCTCGCGGAGGCGATCGGGCACGCGCGCCGCCGCCCAGGGCACCTGCTTCTCAAGGCTTGCCCGTTCCCGATCCCCGCAGGCCGAGCACCACACAGCGGGTAGCCCAACCTGCGCGTCCGCATCGCGCTCGGGGACGGCTTCCGCGGCCTCGCCATAGCAGGCGCAAGAGGTCTTCACCGTTGCCACTGACGAGCTCTGCGCCCAGGAGCGGACGAGAGGCCAAAGCGCGCGTGGCCCAGCGCACCGCTGCGCTCCACGAGGTGCTCTGGGTCCTACTGCCGCTCCTACCTGTGCCGCCCGCGCGTCGACGCCCGTGTGCCACTGCCTCCCGCATGAAGTGCCGCAGACTGGTGATGTTGCCTCCCGCACGCATGGAGTCCTACCTCGCCTCCTCCTCCCCTCCCCCCCCTTGCCAGAAGCCTCCCAGAACCCTTCCACGGGCTTGCTGGAGCTCTCCAGGGGCTTCCCCCGAGCTTTCATCACCGCCTTTTGGAAGTCGAGGACCGAGGAGGATGGAGGATCGAAAATCGAGGGTTCTTGACGTCTTTGGCGTCTCTGGGAGTCCTGGGGGGTCCAGGGGAGTCCGCTTCCTGGTCGAGTTGGCGAACCCTGCCAGCGCCTGGCCCTCGGAGCCCCGCTCGCCTCGCCTCGCGCACACACGCGTCGGTCCCGTTCGGCTGCGCGGGGGGCAATCCAGAAAGAGGAGTAAGTGAGTCAGAGTGAGTGAGTCAGTCGAGAGTAATTGAGTCAGTGAGTCAGTGGGTGAGTCGCCGCCGCCGCCGCCCCAGATGGGGCCCGTTAACGCACGTTTACGACAGGTTTGCGAATCAAGGTGTTAACAAATCATCTTGTCCATGACCTCCTTGAGTGAGTGAGTGAGTGAATGAGTAAGCGGTGGTGGTAGTGGTGGCGGGGCCCCCCTTGGCATTGCCCAGAACGCCTCCCACGAGGCTTCGCGGCGGGAACGTCCCCGAGCGCCTCCCAGGGCCCAAGTGGGCTTCCAGAGGCCCCTCCGCGGGGGCGGCACCAGTGGGACCGCGTGGGGCTGCTCGCTGTCGCTTCCTACGCGCGGCGGCCCTGCAGGGCCCATTCGGATACGATCGGTCCGATTCCAGATCAGGCTCCGGCCAGCTCGATCCCGCTTCGATCCCGACACTGCTTCTATCCGATGCGGCCGGCCCGTTGGTCGCATGGCGCTGTTTTCTATGTCTTTGTGCGGCCCGTTCGATTCGGATTCGATCCCGTGCCGATGCTGACTGGTCCTGCCCTCCCCTGCCCCCGCCAGGGTCTTCGCACTCTGGGGCTTCCGCTCCCGCTATCGTGGACGGGGCGTCCCAGGCAGGGCATCGCCTTCGGCCCTTCTCGCCCTCGGCAGAAGGCGGCGGGTCCACCGGCGGAAGGTCGGCAGAAGGCGGCGGAAGAGAAAGCGAGACGAGAGCATGTGTGGATTCCGAAGTTCTGGAGTCGGTCGTATATTCGAAGCATCTACACATTTATGTCTCAAACAATACATATATGAATATGTGTATATGTGTGTGCATGAGCATCGCGGATATATACACATGTGTCTGGATAGATTCCCGAATAGATTTCGCACTCAGGGGCCCTTACTCGTCTACCTGAGGATTTTCCACGTTGCCGCCCGTCGCCGCTTCCTTGTGTTAGCTGGGAGGGTCCGACAAGGTTTCGCCTCGTTGCCGCCCGTTCCCGCCTCGTTGCCGCCTCGTGCGCTGGAAGGGTCCGGCGAGGCTTCGCTACGCTGCCGCCCGTTACCGCCTCGTTGCCGCCTCGTGCGCTGGGTGGGTCTGGCGAGGTTTCGCCACGCTGCCGTCTGGTACCCCCTCGATGCAGCTTCGTTCCATCCGGAGCCGTTTGTTGACGGCCCTGGGGCCCCGTTCAGAGCCCGCAGAGGCCGAAAATAGACAAGACCCTTGACTGTTCCGGTCCGCGGCCTGGTGGTGTCCCGACCCCTTGGCATCAGCTGTGGCATGCTTACGTATCCACATGGCCATGCCTATGCATGCTACGACGATGCGTAGGCGTCCTGGCCGGGTGGAGGTTCAAGGTGATGGCTGGGAGCAGAGCGAGCGGGCCGACCCAAGGTCCGAGTAGATGGGGTCGGAGGATCGCGCCGCATCGGCAAAACATCAGCGGTGCACCAGCGACGTCGGTGATGCATCGGCGCCGTCGGCGCGTAGAAGATCCGGCCCCACATCGAGCCGCATCGCCGATGCATCGGCGATGCGTCGCGATCTGGGATGCCTACACGAGTGAACGAACGAACGAACCACCTACCCAGCTTTCCAAGGCTCCGAGAAATCTGCAGCGGTCGGTTTGGGCCGTTTCCGGCCTCCAGGGGCCCTGGACGGGCCCCAGGACCGTCAGGAACGACTCAGGACGAAAATCTGGCCCTGGAAAGTGGTTCAGACCTCTGGGGCCCATGCATCGGAAAAACTGGAGCGCCTGATGGATGTCTGCAACGAACGAACCACCTCTGCGGACAATCGTCTGAGCCTAGCTGAGACCTTCTGAGCGACAAGAAGAGGTGGGTCTCGCGCTAGAAGACATCGCGACTGTACGCCCCGGCTCACGCGGGCCCCCAGCGTGGCACGGCGCGTGGAGAAGAGGGCGCTGACGCGCGATCCTGCGAAGAAAGCTTACGCGCCAGTGTCCACGGCGTCAAGCCTGTTGCCTTCCGTCGCTCAGGTGGGGGGGGGCCGTGGCCTCTTGGAGTCTACAAACATGCGTCGCGACTGCGAGTCTCCAGGGCGCGGGCCCGCCCAGGCGGACCCAGATGTCCGACGATTTGAGTTTTGTCAACCACGGCAGGGGCTTTCCGAGATCTGGGCGTTGCAATGTGTCCACGCCATGCGTATTCGCCCAGTTTCGGGCCCTCTGGCCATCACAGATCGATCCTGATCGACAAATGCATCAGCAAGGTAGGGTCTAGGGCTCTGGTCGTGATTTTTCGCGGTGTTGGAATTTTTCGCAACGTCTGATCTTAGGGCGTTCCGTCCCGGGGCCCGGCGAGGGCCCCCGCCGAAAACGGCCCAAAACTCCCCGACGTGAGTTCATTCACAACGCGAGCACGTCTGGGACCGCACGTCTCTAGGCCTCCCAAATGGGGTCCGAGTAGATGGGGTCGGAGGATCGCGCCGCATCGCCGATGCTTCGGCGATGTGGCTCGATGGGGATGTCGATCCTCTCCACGGCGACGTCGCCGATGCATCGACGAGGCGGCGCGATCTTCCGACCCCACCGCGCTCGGATCCCGTTTGAGAGGCCTTCAACGTCGTGATTTTGCTCACCACGCGAGCGGGCCTGGGCTCGGGGCGCCGACAGCTCTCCTGCGGGCCCCGGCGCGCAGGAGGCGCACGGCAGCGGCAGCCCCGCCGCGGCCGCCCGCGCCGCAGCGGCGCCGTGGCCGTGCGCGGCGGCGCCGCACACCGCCGCGGCATGGCCGGGCGCCAAGGCTCAGGGGAGGATCGTCGGCGAGGTCGGGGCGGGGGAGGAGGAGGAGGAGGAGGAGGAGGAGGAGGAGGAGGAGGAGGAGGAGGAGGAGGATTGAGGAGGATGAGGAGGAGGAGGAGGAGGATTGAGGAGGAGGAGGAGGAGGAGGAGGAGGCTGGCCTTCTCAGAGGGCGGCGGGACTTCTCAGAAGCCCTCGGGCGCCTTCCGAGGAGCCCCGCCCTGGATCTCCGGAGGAGGCGCAGAAGATATTTCTCGGAAGGCCGGGGGCCTGCCGGGCCTTTCGGGGAGGGCCGCCCCTCCTGCCTTCCCCCTCGGGCTCGCCGCCGTGCCCGCGTCGCTCGCGTCGTGAGAAGACTTGTTCCGTCGCGGCGCGGCAGAGGAAGTCCGCACGCGCGTCCGAGCGAAACGGGGGCGCGGAGTCGCGAATAAGCCCGCACGCACGGGGAGGAAGGAGAGGAGGAGGCCGGGAGAGGGCTGGTCGTCGCCGCGGCCGGATCCGCCCCGAATTCCTGACCAGAGAGCATCCCGGGAGAGGCCTGGGGAGTAGCCGTAGGTTCGTGTCGTGTCGACGCGGCTGCGACCCCAGCGCGTGCTGTCAAGGTTCAACGCCGCCAGTCACCCAGAATCGGCCAGCCTGGATCGATCTGGCGTTCTGGAAACGCGCGATCGTTCCAGGTTGAAAGCTCTCCACGGTGTCAGAAACCAACGCCGCAGTCAGCACGACACGAACCCGCCGTAGCGGTGTCGGTACTTTTCGGTTTCCCCCAAGGCGTGCGATGCTGCGGGCGGCGCCAGGGCGCGCGCCGTCCCGCGAGGAGCTGCCGCCAGGGCTGCTTGCGATTCGGTTCGGTGCGATCCGATTCGCCAGCTGGGGCTGCGATTCCGATCCGGTTCGATCCCAGATCTCCGAAGATCTGATTTATTCAGTCCCATTTCAATCCTAGCGTTTTTCCTCGAGTTGGACTTTTGGGGCCCGTTATCGGGCCGCGGACCATCAAAATCGATCCAGAGCGAAAAATTGGCCCAGGGGAGGATGTCTGGGGTTCGGGTCGATTCATCGGCATCTGGCTGGGCCAGTGGGAGCCAGACGCGGCGATCCGATTTCGATTCGAATCGGGACAGTACTCTGGCGAACCGATCTGTTTCCGACCCATTCCGATTGCGCGGTTCGATCAAATTCAGGTTTGCTTGCCAGTTGGGCCTTCGGCTACTCTTTAATCTGGGCGCTGCATTTCTCCACTTCAGGTGGTTTCGCCTGGCTTCGGGTCCCTGGGGCGTTCGCGGATAGATCCAGCTCGAGAAGTGCCTCGGGAAGATGGAATCGAGGGCTCCAGCTGTGATCTTCCACGACGTTGGATTTGTGTCGCGACGTCAGATGTCAGGGCTGGTCAGCGGAAGAAAAGCGGTATACAAGAATGTTTTCCATCATCGGGAACGTTTGTTCCAGCTCGGTTGGAAAGTTGAGACCTTCACGCGCCTCCGTGAGGATATAATTTTCAAGCCGCCCAGGGACGGCGGAAAATAATTATTTAGTATAGTTGCTCTTGGGCTGGGCAACCCAGAGATCCGTCACCAGGAAAAACATTACATCGTGTAGCATCACACCAGGAGCCCAAGAACCCCATCTTCCCGCAACGCTCCTCGAGCCAGATCGACCCGCGAGAGCCCCTGGAGGGCCCAAAGCTGGGAGAGACCGCCAGGAGTTCAAAAGCTGGAGCGCCAAAATCTCAGGGCTGATCTTCGCCATTTAAGCGAAGTCGGGCGACGAGATCTATACATATCCACTGCCCCTGGCCAGACCTATCCTGGACGTATACGCCTCCCTGGCCGAGCCAGGAGAGCGTATACATTGCGCCTGGGCGGGATGGGCTTCGCAAAGGGCTGTGGACTTATATTACACATATACACAAACATACATACATACGTACGTACGTACATACATACATGCATGCATGCATGCATGCATACATACATACATACATACATATATACATACATATGTGTATATATATATAGAGAGAGAGAGAGAGAGAGAGAGAGAGAGATCCCGCCGTCCTGGCAAAGGTGGCCCTGGAGATGTGTCCCCACTCTCGGGCGCACTCCGCCCTCCCCGAGGCCATCAAGAAACGGCGTTGGATGAGAAGCTCGGCCGCGCGCAAGAGTGGCCCTTCGCTGGGGCGGGGTTCTTCGGCGGGCCCACAGGTTAGAGGAGGAAAAGATTCGACTAACGTTGCTCGTTCTGGTCCTCGTCGCCTCGGCTGCATTATCCTCGGATTTCTTCTCGGGACGCACCCCAGGAGAGGTCCGGGTAGCAGCGGTATCGGTATTTCTTTGTCCCCCAACAGGGCCTCCTCCAGCACTGCCTCCCGCGACCCTGTAGCCTCGCACCGAAGGTCACTCCTGCCTCGGTTCATTCCTCTGTGTGGCCAGAAGATTGGTCTTGGGGAGACCTCCACGGGGGATCAAGACCGGTTTCCACCAAGTCCGTCCGTCATGCAAGGCGAACCGACTTGCGATCATACAAGGCAATGTACTTCTGGATTCGGCGGGGTGCGCTCACAACAAATCACCCGCATCGAGGCTTGGTGGTTCGCTCTGGAAATTCCAGCTTGGTGTGGACATACATTGCGCAGAGAGATCAACAAGGCCACGATGCCATCCACCTCCCGTCATCCCGTTCCTGGCGACTACGTTCAGCTTCGCGGCGACCTCATTGGGATCGTCGGTGCAGAAACAGTGAAAAGGTCAGCGCCAATTGATTTCGTCATTGCCAAGTGACCGACCGAAGAAAGCAGACTCGATTAAGCAGACATTCGCGCGTAAGTTTTTCGCGCAAGGTAGCGCGTAAGCATTTTCTTCTCCTCGTGGTGTCACACGTTGGCGGCCCGCGTGAGACGCAGCGAAAGGTCGCTACGTCTTCCTGCATAAGCCCCGTTTCATCTCGTCGCTCAAGTGGATAATGTCTCGGCGTTCTCACGTTGCCGGGTCGATCGAGCTCGCTCCCCATCTGGGATTATGATGATTTGATGTTCGAAAGTGGCAACAGCTCGCCGTGAGCTCCATTCCACCATCGCCATCGTCGGACTCCCAGATTCCAATCATGTTTGTGATATGCTTACACGGCGCTGATCCTCTCGCGCTGTTAAGTTCCCCAGTACCCCCAGTTCCCAGGAATACAGGCTGCACCAGAAGCACCACGGCCGTTTGGTCCGCAGCCAGAAGCCGCTGCCGTGCCACGGCGGGAAGACCAGGCGGGCGGGAGGGTGCGCAAGGAGGCACATCTTCTCGCGCAGGCATACGGGAAGCACAATTGCATCACCGTTGAAGTTAAGCGTTATTTGGGCTTCGTTCCCAACCTTGACGCTGCCCTTCAAGCCTTGGAATTCGAAAACGCGCCCGTCTACTTCAAGCAACGCGACGCACGCATTTGCGATTATGTTCTTGTGAATGTTCACAGATTGGCAGCCCGCATGTTATTCTTGGCATTCCCTTCCAGGTGACAGCAAGATCCAGCAAGCAACATGTGACAATAATGGTACGGACGGCATATAGCTCTTTGGCACCACTATTTGCCGCAAGTGACGAGTAATGGCGGAATGCACACTCACGCTGTAACATTGACTATTATTATTTGTGCGCGTGTTTGGCGGGCGAATTCTGCATACAATATTTGGGCACGCAGTCTAGCGAACCCGTTGCATTGGTTGTAGATATACGCCGTCAAGCAGCCTCACCGATCCGGAACCTAGGAGGCGCAGGAACCGACCACAAGCACAAAACCAAGAAATGTAGATACCGCACCGATCGTTTACAACGTGTCCGCTTCCGCCCGCAACGCTCCGGTATGCTAAAGGAAGATGGTTGCCATACAATCGTTCCACGTGGTACATGCTTGCGGTATTTCACGGCTGTGTTCAAATTGCATTCACAAATACAGGTGGCAAGTTCCAGAATTAGAATTGCGATACGGTGTGTGGCTCTATTTTAATACCTTCATGCAAACAGATACTCTCACTTGTGCTACATGTGTACGTGCTTCGGTGTAGCACGCACTAACTCCACACGTACACGCAACATGTTTCCCGCACTGATACATGTACGGGTTTCCATGTCGCGTTTATCGGAGCGAGGGGTCCGTTCGCACAATTATATTTCAAGTCGGGTTGGCTTGTTCGAGGCCATCCCATGTGCGCCCCACCGCGGCCCCATACCACGCGAGGATGTGGGGACGCACCCGAGCCCCCGAGGTGGGCAGAGCACGCCGGGCCTCCAGCCAAATCCACGGCAGCCCCAGCACGGGCGGCTGGATTTATGAAGGAGGCGGCCATGCTCCCACCCACCACACCACCCAAGGGACCTGTCGACTTCGGCCCCACTTTGCAGCACCCGCGCAGTGCAAGACGCAGGCCGTATCCGTCTACCCCACCCAAAGACATCGCAGAGGCAAAGGGAAAAGCCCCCTTCCCCACAGATACCAGCGCGCGCTTCATTCACATAGAGGACAACGAGCGCGTGGAACACCCCGTAGACGAGAAACCAGCAAACCTGGCGACTTCATTGAGATCCCTTGGACTCCTGGATGCGATTTCATTTGGATTTCGGGGATTGCATACCCTGAAGCAAAACCAACCTTGGAATCCCCAGGAGGTCCAGGACTGAGAACCCCAGCAATCCCGAAGAAATCACAGGGTTCGCGACGCTGGTGATGCGCAAACCCTGTGATTTCATTTGGATGCTTGGGATTTCTGGAATGCCAATCAACGAAATCACGCAGATTCATTTGAATTCCTTGGGTTTCTGGGGTTCCATACCCTGGAGCAAAACCAAGTTTGGGATCTCCAGGAGGTCCAGAGCTCAGAATCTGAAGAACCCCCGTGAAACCGCAAGGTACGCGACGTCGGCGATGCGCAAACTTTGCGATGTCATTGAGGTTCCTAAGGTTTCTGTCATGCAAATCCACGAAACCTTACGATTTCATGTTGCTTCCTGGGATTCCTAGGATTTCAAGCTTTGGAGCAAAACCAACCTTGGGATCACCACGAGGTTCAAGGCGCAGAATCCAAGTCCCGTGAAATCGCAGCGTTCGCGGCGTCGGTGATGCGCAATTTCTGTGATTTGGATTTCTGTGATGGAAATCCACGAAACAATTTGATTTCAATGGGATTTTCGGATTTCCACGATTTTCAGCTTTGACCCTCTGTGACCCCAGGGTTCGTATGTTGTTTTTTGCTTTGGGGCTGGAAATCCCAGGAATCCAAATGACATCGCAAGGTTTCATTGATTTGCATCCCAGAAACCCACGGAACCCCACTGAAATGAAAAGGTTTGTGCATCATCGACATCGCGAACATTGCGATTTCAGTTGGATTCAGAGGGTTCTGGCCCTTGACCTCCTGATCCCAAGCTCGGTGTTGCTCCAAGCTTTGAAATCCCACCAACCCCAGAAATCCCACGGAAATGCCAAGGTTTCTTAAAGCCCAGGAAAACCCTGTGAAATCGCAGGGCGACGCCGCGAACCTTATGATTTTACCGGAACCCTTAGGATTCCGAGCCGTGGACTTCCTGGGGATCCCAAGGTTGGTTCCAATGCTTGAAATCTGAGGAACCCCAGTGAAATCACATGGCAGAGAGACTGGCGAAAGCGAGCGGAGAAAATGATACCAAAGAAAAACCCAATCATAATATTTTCAGGGCTGTAGGGCTACAAGGCTATATGGGCTCTTGGGCGCTATATGGGCTATATGGGTTATAGGGCTATAGGGCGATAGAGATATAGGGCTACAAGGCTATAGGGCTACAGGGCACCAGGCACCCGGGCACCCGGCACCCGGCACCCAGGCACCCACCCGGGCACCGGGCACCCGTCACCCGGGCACCCCGGCACCCGGGCATCCGGGCATTCGGGCCCGGCTACCGAATCGGCGGCGAACCCGGGCACCCGGGCACCCGGGCCCGGCCACCGAATCGGCGGCGAACCCGGGCACCCGGGCACCCGGGCACCCGGGCCCGGCCACCGAATCGGCGGCACACTTCACCTACCCTTCAATCCGCTAGGACCCCTACAGAGGCAAGCTCTGATTGGGGAACAAGGGAGAGGGACAGAGAAAGGGCGAATGAGAGAGGGAGAGATGAGAAAGAGGAGGAAGAGGAGTAGGAAGATAGTGAGGAGAAGAAGGAGGAGCAGGAGGAAGAGGAGGAGGAAGAGGATGATGACGAGGAGGAGGAGAAAGAGGAGGAGGAGGAAGACGAGAACGGTGGGAGGAGAGGAATGACGAGGACAAAGAGGAGGAAAACATACAGGGGGCGAGGGAAGAAAATGGAAGAGTAAAAGGGAAGTAAGAACAGGGGGGGCTTGGGATCTGGAGATGTTCCTTAAAGAACCCAGGGTCTCGCCACCAATAGGCAACCTGTTGTGGGCCACATCGCCCGCTTCGCCTCACATGTTTTGCATATATATATATATATATATATATATATATATATGCATACATATGTATACATATATATAACATACATACATACATACATACATACACATACATACATATACATACAAGTGCATGCATATATATATATATATATATATATATATATATATATATATATATCAGAACCAACCGGTTCCACAGTTGGGATTAAGTAGATTTAGCTTGATTGTTGAATACGAGTAGTTGTATACCGTACTACTTTGAAAATTGAATCTAGATTGAATGATAATTAAATATCGTTATATTGAACTTGCATATGTATTGTAATCGGTATCGGTACTGTACTCGATATCGTTATTGCAATCGGCATCGGCACTGTAAAAGGTAGTTGATTTCCGGAATCCGGTAGTGTAATCGGTAACGGAATTCGGACCGATATTGGTATTCAGTGCGAAATTCCGTATTTCATTCCGTATGTTCATACCGATTCGTTTCTCGATGTGAGTTGTGTATGGATGATTATGAATATATATATATATATACACACACATACATACATACATACATACATACATACATACATACATATGGCAATGCGTGCATGTGAATATTTTCTGAGAGCGCCTTGGGCAGAGGGGGCCGCGCGTCACTGCACGCCCGCAACTGATTGTGCTCAAGCTATCACCGGCGGAAGCGCCGGGAGACAGCTTCCCCCTCTCCACATGGATTGGCTGCTGGGCCGGCGTTACGTCGACTGGCTCCTGGGGACCATCTCTCAGTCGGTCGTGCGCTGGTCGGCTCGCTGTCCGGCCTGCCCTGTGTGCCCGCAGCCTCCGACGTGCCCGGCCTGCCCAGCGGCGGCGCCGATCCACGTCCACCCGCCTGCGGTCTGCCCGGCGGCACCTGAGGCGCCCGCGCCTCCATCGACGCCCAGCCCGGCCAGCGCCGAGGCGGAGGGCTCGTCTTGGGTAGGCAACTGGCTGGGTCTCGCGCTGCTGGTGGCCAACGTTCTCCTCTTCTCTGTCCACGCGCTGAAGTTCGTCGGGGGCGTCGCCTGGAAGTTCACGCCAAGCCTGACGCCGGCCAAGATCAAGGATGGCTCAGGAGCCAGCTCCGCCGGGTCTTCGGCAATGGGCTTGGGTACAGTACGCAAGCGCGCCGCTGTGGCATCAGCGGCGAGTGTGGGGGCGGGTGATTCAGCATCCGACTGACCCGCGGTGGTCGCCCCTGCGCGTGCTGATCTCGTCGCCGAACGGCGACGTGTACGAGGAGCTGTACGACCTTTCTGATGGCTCTCTGGCGGCGGTCCGCTTCGAGGAGGATCGCCGCACTCGCCCTGCTGGGTTGGACGCAGGTAGCCTCTACAGGTTCAGGCGCCCCTTGACGGCGGCCGAGGAGGTGGCGATCCAGAATGAGCTGAACGCCTACGCGCGGGACGTGTACTTGACTGCGGAGCGAGCTGCTGGACGAGCTGGCGTTGTGCCGCCTGCTGGTGCTGCGGTCTACTTCACTTTCGGTTTCCCCACGGACGGCGTCGCCCCCCCTGGGCCCGCGGCGGTCCCTCCGGCCCCTGGCGGCGGGGCCGCCGTGGCTGCCGCCCTGGCCGTCGTCCCAGCGGCGGCGGGCCCTCCGCCTGCGGCCGCCCCTGCGCCTGCTGCCGCTGCGGCCGCTCCGCTCGCAGCTGCAGCCGCTCCTGCAGGGCCTTTGGACCCGACGGCCGCGCCTGGGCCCGACGGGCAGTGGGTCTACGTCGAGACCACGACCCTCGCCCGGCGCAGAGATCCCGTCGTGGTCGACGGCACAGAGCTCGCGCGGGGAGCCATCGGGCTGAAGAAGCAGGGGGCGGACGGGAGCTGGACAGCCATCCGTCTGATCTCGACCTCACAGGTGGCCTACCGTGACGCTGAGGCGTCAGCAGATGTTCGCCTCCAGCCAGTGGTCTTGTTCAATGACGGCACGCGTCAGCGGGTGCAGTTCCACGAGAGTGTCGACAGGCTTCGTGAGGAGTCTTTCCCAGACTGGCCGCTCGATGGCCCAAGGACGACGTTGTGGTGCCTTCGGTTCTTGGACAGGAAGCGAGGAGGGGCCATCGAGCACTTTCATCAGCTTGTGTCATACTACAGATTGTCCCGCGACGACTTCGGAGTGACTCACCATGAGTCGATCACGCGGATGATTGACTACTTGATGACGTGTGACCTCCTAGACTTGCCCAATGTGGTGGGCGTGGAGGTCATGCTGCGTCAGGCACAGCTATATGAGTATATGTACGCCATGGAGTACGAAGCTCGCGACGCTGGCGGTCCTGCTTCCGCCTCTGCCGAGGGTGGCCCCAAGGCGAAGGCGAAGGGCAAGCCCAAGAGCCGGGTCGGCGGCGGCGGTCTCTTGAAGTTCGGGTTCGTGGACGAGGCAGGTGTCTTCACGGGCACCGCCCGCGAGGACGGCCGCATGATGGTTGCCCCAGCGCTGCTGGAGCACGTGGCCAAACAAGTGGAGCGCGACGCTGGGATCCTTAAGCAGATCAGGAAAGCTAAGGAGGAGCGTCGCGCTCTGGCTCCATGACGGAGTGGGCTCTGGAGGCGGACTCCCCGCCCGCCTTCAGCGAGTACCGAGGGGGCTTCGCGGACACCGCCTCCCGCGTTGCAGATGTACCTGAGGCCGGCTCATCACGTCAGCGACGACACAGGGATCTGTTTCCACTCCCAGTCCCAGCTGACGGTGAGCGCAGTTTTGCGGCTACAGACCTTTCTCGCGCAACGAAGAGGCGGCTCCACAAGGCCAGTCACCGCCGCGAGATGGTCGTTGACGCCGTCCGCGCCATGAATGAGATGTACACTGGCTCGTGCTGCCCGCGACCTACTGGACTTGCGAGCCCTACGGTTGCTCAGCAGGAGGCTCTGGCGGCGATCCAGGAGGCCGTCGACGCCTTCGGAGTGCCCCCGCCCGACCTCACACCCGCAGGAGCCCTCGAGGAGCTCCGCGCTGCGCAGTCATACGACCAGGAGTCCGCCGTGATTGCGCCGGTGACCTTCGACCGAGTCGATCTGATCTCCCTGCCGAGCGCGGGCTCCGAGCCGAGGCCCCTGCCCATGCTCATCGGGGGCGACAGCGTGAGCATCGGTCACCGCCTTCAAGATCTACTTCTGCCCCGTGAGCGGGGGCTCGCCCGGGTGGCGGAGCACGCTTCGAAGCGAGCGTATTCGGATCCCAACCTGAGGAAACTTCGTCTGCATAAGAAAGTTTAGCACCTCTTTTTGTCATCAAACCTCGTTGAGTTTCACACTGATGCGTTGAGCTCCGTGGGGATGTTCTTCGCCTATAAGAAGTCGGGGGCTCTGAGGCTCATCTTGGATGGTCGTATCCCGTCCCAGTTGTTCGACGAGCCTCCGAAAGTGAAGTTGGCGACTAGAGCCGCATTGTCCCAGCTCAGAGTTGACAGCAAGGAGCCAGTGTGCGTTGCTGGTGCGGATATTGCTGACGCATTTTATACCATGCTTCTTCCTCCCTGGCTTCGTCGGTATTTCGGACTTCCCAAGATCAGAGCTGGCGAGATGGGGATCTCGGTCACCGCCAGTGGGCAGCCTGTGTCTCCGTCGCAGTGGGTATACCCGTGTTTCAGATGCCCTCCGATGGGATTCAGTCTTAGTCTTTGGCTGTGCCAGACGGTGAACGAGACCGTCGCGCGCAGGGCGGCCCTGGTCAGGCCCGAGCGCGTGCTTGTTGATCGCTTGCCAGCCCCCGTCATTGACACCGATGTCGTCCACACAGAGTACGTTGACAATTTCGTTGCATTATCGTTGTCAGAGGCCTCTGCTATTGCTGCTGCTCGTCAGGTCGATCATCATCTACGTGCAGTGGGTTTGCCTACTCACGGGGTGGAGAGCGGCGTGGGCGGGGATACTCTAGGCTGGTCCTTCGACTCTAACTCGCCCGTGGTCTCGCTCAATCCCCGGCTCAGGTGGGAACTATACCTTGGGCCCCAGGAGATCCTCCGACGTGGGTATTGTTCGGGGAGGGAAATGGTGAGGATTGTCTCGCACATCACGTCCAGGGTGCTCATTAGGAGGGAGCTTCTATCGCGCCTGGGAGCCGTCTACAAGTTCGGGGAGATATATCACCGACGCGTTGCTAAACTTTGGCCTGTCGTCCGTCGAGAGCTTCGTTGGGCCCGGGCACTTCTCATCTTCTGCAACAGGGGCCTCGGGCTACCCTTCGACACCACCCTTACCTGCTTGGATGCGTCGCCCTGGGGCTTCGGGGTCACACAGCGGGCGGTCTCTGTGGACTCGGTCAAGAACTTGGCCAAGTATAACGAGCGCTGGCGGTTTTCTCGGGAAGCTGAGCGGTTTTCTCGGGAAGCTGAGCGTCTACGTCTTGGCCCTCGGGCCGCTGCAGTTCCAGGCTTGAGTTCTCCAGAGTCAGCCCCCGCGGGGGCCGAGGTCTTCGATGAGGGCCCTGTCTTCGAGGAGGTCCCGGCCGACATCTGGAGGGGCCACTGGCACCGGTCCTCTCGGTGCCCTGGCGGCGCCCAGCTCCGCAGGTCATCCTGGACGCTCGGGCGGGCGTGATGGCGCTTAAGCACAAGCTCCGCTCAAAGAGGTCCTTTCGGAAGGCTCACGTGATGCTGAGTGATGCCACGGCGCCCATTTTGGCTCTGGCACAGGGTCGGTCTTCGGCGCCTGCCCTCCTTGCAGTTTGTCGGCAAGTGGCTTGTCTTTTGCTGGCCTCGGGCTCGGCGGCGCACTGGAGATGGCTGCCGTCTGAGTTCAACTCGGCCGACCCAGCGTCGCGGAACCGGCCTGGCGCCAGGCCTGAGGCGTGGCATGCCCCAGCGGTTGTCATCCCAGAGAGCGCCCAGTGCCGGGCCGTCGGGCGCGCTCCGCAGGCGACCAGCAGCTTCGTCGGCCACTACCGGCACCAGGAGCCGCAGCTGCCGGGACCGCTCGCAGAGTCTGGCGGCGCTGTCGCGGGGAGACCAAGCGGCCCGTCGAGTCGCTCGGAGGTCTGCCTTCCCAGCTGCTGCGATGACCGCGGCGGCAGGTGTGCTGACCTTCTTGGAGACGCAGGCTGTCGGAGAGGCGACCCGCCGGGACTACGAGGTCAGGGTCTCGAAGTTGGAGACGTGGGCGCCCTCGGTCCAGCTGCCGATCAACGACGCGACCGAGATGGACTCTGCGCTGGTGACGTTCTTCAACCAGCTCTTCTTCGACGGCTACCCGTGCGAGGAGGCGACGAAGTACATGGCGGCGTTGGTGCACCTCCGAGCGGCGCCTGGGCGGCTGCAGGTGGCCTTCCCCCGAGCCGCTCGTGCGGCGAAGGGCTGGGCCCGACTGGTGCCGGCGCGCTCGAGGCTCCCGCTGCCGTGGCCCATCGCTTGCCTCATGATCGATTGGATGCTGAACGTGGGCGAGACGATCGTCGCCGCGGCGACGGCGGTCTGCTTCGCGCTCTACCTCCGCCCAGCCGAGTTGCTGGGCCTGAAGCGCGAGCAGGTGATCCCGCCAGCCGAGGGCGCCCCGTCGGGTCAGACGTTCCTCAACTTCTGGTCGGTGGTCTTGCATCCGATGGAGAGCCTCCAGCCGTCGAAGACGGGCGTCTACGACGAGGGTCTCATCCTGGACAGCCCGGAGTTCACATGGCTGCCACGGGTGCTCCAGGCCCTTCGGGCTCGTGCCGCGCCAGGCGGCCGCATCTTCGAGCTGAGCTACAACCAGTGGGCCCTGGTGTCAGGCGCGCGGCGGTCGCCCAGCACCTCGACGTCCTGGGGCCCCCCGCCCTGTACACCCTCCGTCACGGGGGAGCTTCTCACGAGCACCTCTCAAAGTTCAGGAGCCTCGACGAGATCAAGAAGAGAGGGAGGTGGGTGTCGGACTCGTCTCTTCGACGCTACACCAAGGGCGGCCGTGTCGCGGAGCAGCTGCGGCGTCTCCCGATCGCCGAGCAGCGCCGCGCCACGCGCTTGGTCGGCAGCATTGGCGGTCGCCTCTCCAGCATTTGACACAGTTCGTGGAGGAGAGCGGGCAGCCAGTCCTGCTGGAGGTATTCAGCGGGTCTGGCCGCCTCGCCTCATCATGGAGGCGCGTCTGCCAAGGCCGACTGGCCGCCTTCGAGCTTGATATCAAACATGACCCTGATTCAGATCTCTTGCAACGCCGAGTGCAGCAGCTCCTCCGAGGATGGCTCCGCTCTGGCCTGGTGGCGGCCGTTTGGATCGCCACTCCTTGTCAGTCAATGTCGCTCGCGCGTAACCGACCCAACGGACCCCCGCCTCTGAGAAATAGCTCACATCCTGAGGGCCTGCCTGACCTGTCCCCTGGCGATGCTTTGAAGGTTTTGCAAGGATATAGGCTTTGTTCGTTCAGCTTTAGTCTTTTCGAGCTGGCGCTGGCCCTTGGGATCCCGGTTGGCTTGGAAAATCCTGGGTCCTCCTGGCTCTGGAAGCAGCCGATTGCTCGGCGTGTTTCGAAGCGTTCTGGGGTCCAGCGCCTGACAGTAGATTTCTGTGCTTTCGGCACCCCGTGGCGAAAGCGCACGGCAATCATCTATGCTAATGCTGAATTGTCTGTCCTCCGTCCCTTCACATGTTGTGGCCGTGGTATATGCTCGTTCACAAGTAGGCCCCACACCGAGCTCGCAGGCAAAGACAGCACAGGTAGATTTCTAACGGGTATCGCCGAACCGTACCCAAGTGATTTGTGTAAATACATTGTTTGTGCTTTTCTACATGCTCATCGTAACCATGTGTTTCGGGGAATGTGGTCTAAGGTGGCCCCTCGCCTGTAAGTCGCGGCTCCAGATATATGTTTCGGAGTCCTCCGATTTTGTGGTGTTGTGCTGACTACTGCCGGTCTCGAGGACTGGCGCCTGATTGCATCCTCTCGTCTAGCGCTCTGGGCTCCAGTAAGCACACAGATCAAACCTTCGGTCCGGCCACTGAGGAGAGAGAGCTCCTCGGAAGAACAGATGGCAACGCGCGCATGTGAATCTTTTCTGAGAGTGCCTTGGGCAGAGGGGGCCGCGCGTCACCGCACGCCCGCAACCGATTGCGCTCAAGCTCCCTCCCGAGCCCACCCGCGGAGCAAAATCTACGCGAGGTGTTGTGCTGACTACTGCCGGACTGGCGCCTGATTGCATCCTCTCGTCTAGCGCTCTGGGCTCCAGTAAGCATACAGATCAAACCTTCGATCTGGCCGCTGAGGAGAAAGAGCTCCTCGGAAGAACATATATATATTATCGCGAGGATCGGATTTCAAGAATGAGGATGTGTTCCAACATCGAATTACCAGAATAGGTTTTTCGAAGTTCTTACTGCCGCTGATATTCTGGAGATTTCTGGACTCGATCGGCTTCCCAGGTTGTCACTTCCGTGTCCCACGGTGGATTCGTGCCAGCTCTGGGGTAAGGATGCGGCAGTACGGGATGAAAGGTTGTTACGTTTAGCGATTCAGCCCCCTAAATCGGTGAACCTCTGCGTGGACTTTTCAATCCACGCCTCGAGTCCCGCGATAAATATCGGCGGGGCACGGACACAGAAGAAGGACGTTCATATCCATCATCCATCGAAGATTTTTCTCCTGAGTATGATTACAAGATGTCCAGCTATGTTCAGGAGTGCTCAATTCATGCAGAGAGCGAAGATAGATATCGAGACATAATCGATATGTTGTATTATGTCCGTAGCGATCACGGTTCAGAGACTTACAATCTTTCGATTTCCTCCACCTTGCAGTGTTGGTCCGCTCCGTTGGAGAGGATACTTCTGCATGACTCGTGAAATTCCAAATCATGATTGCACTCCCGCTCGCGCAAAGCATTTTGCTATGGCGCCGGCCTCCAGTAGACGGCGCGCGGATTCAGCTTCAGTCTGTCTTGAATTTCAACCAGACTCATTTTAAGGACGGATGGCTCCCAGCTGAAGACACGCCAGGTTCAGAAGTGGGGAATGGTGATATTCTTGCTATTGAAAACGGAGAGCTTCAGCAGACTGTCTCAAAAAAATCAGAGGTCATTGAGGCAAGAAACCACTGATGCGTGGGCCAAAACGTCGAGATGTTGAAAAGATCGACGATAATGTCATTACAGGGACCCTCCGAGAGATCGCAGGGGTTTACACGAAGGAGAAGAAGTTTCAGGGTACGTATTTCACGATAAGTACACATCAGGAAATCACAGTTTTGGTGGGAAAGTGCGATCGGTGCCAAGAATGCAATACCAGCTATGCATTTTCGTGTTCAAATGTTCCGGC